CCGCAAACACGGTTAAGAAAATGAGTGCTGTAGTAGTAGGGTTACGGCGCAATGTAATGTAATGTAATGTAATGTAATGTAATGTAATGCGCACATAGAATGTAAGCTTTCTTTTGCGGAAACTGTTGCGCATAGTGGGTAAGTATCTTAGGAAGGCAGGATGTTGTGTGTGTGTGTGTGCGTCTGTGTGTATGCGTACTGGTTGTTGCTCGCAAGGTTTTCAATGCAAATTACATATCACGACTGCGCCAACAACCAACGAAACGTGTATCGCAGATATCTATTTGTTGGTGTTGTTGGTGCGACTGTTAGTTTGTTGTGTATGTGCATAAGTTTATACATGCATGCCCACTCTTGTTGAAGCATTTAGCAGGCCGAATCCAGGCCCGGGGCCTGAAGCCCCTGGCAGCCCCACTGGCGAGCCACGCCAAGTTCTCGGCGCTTTGGGTCCCTCGCCGGAGCTGCAACATCTGTCCCGAGAGAAGTTCCAAAGGAGTTGGAACGATGACGTGTCACGTGTTTTTGTGGGGTCGTTGTCCTTCAGGCTTCGAGCAGCTTGATTCAACGGGTCAAGCTTTTCAGATACAGCGCAGATGGCCTGAAGCCTCTCACTCAGGTTTCCATGTCCGTCCTCGCCAATTACGCCTTTGCGTATAGAATCAGCGTAGCAATCTTTACCCTGTGCCTTGCCTGACTGAGAGCGTTTGTTCCAACAGGTCCAGAGGCTACAATATAGAGGGAAGCAGGAGGCACTTTGCCAGGGCCCGCTGAGGATTGTATGCTCTGAAATGTAAGGGCTTGTAGCCAGGATCCGTTCGTGCAATATCATCGCCACCGTGCTGCTCGGTTACACGGTCTTTGGGGAGCGCTTCTCAGCAGCAGCTCGAGCTGCAAATAGCACGAACTGGTTGCTCCCGGCTGCACTGCCACATGTTCTGACACTTCTCGGACTTGTTTGATAAACCGTGCTGGTTACCATGTGGCCGAGCTTCAGTTGGGATGCCCAGGTCTTGGGGTGCTTTGGATTCTAGAGTGCACCCACCGGCCTGCAGTCTTGACCTAGGAGCAACTGCTTTGCGTCCTGGCCGTCACTGTGGGAATCTTTCTGGCCTCGTTGGGCGTGCCTGGTCCCGCAGAGAAAGTAAACTCAATTGACGGAACTTTGAGACACATAAGCCATGGAGGATTTGCGGGATCCGGCAGACAATCGCCGAGAAATGCCGAGCACACGATCGTGTTCCGAACGCAGCGGGCATCTTCGGGCCGAGTCTCGTCTTCGGGACCAAATCTCGTCTTCAGTGTGCCCCAAACCGAATGTCGACTTGAAATTTCGTCGTCATGCGCATGAAATTGAGCTTCAACTTTAGCTCCTTGCGAACAGTTGTGTCCTCAAAGCTTCGGAATTTCGTCTTCAAGGGGGGGACGAAGCTCGGACACAGTTTCCCGGGTCATTGCGTACATGCATACATACATACAGACAGGCAGGCGAACAACCAGCCATACTGACCTCTTTACATAGTTGCAGACAGAGATACACAAAAAATTCGGTACACACGTGCGTACATACATACGCCCATGCAAAATTTGCATGCATGCATACATACGTACGTACATACGCACATTCAAGTAAGACCGAACGCGGGCTATTGCTTTTGATTGGACAATTTCTTCCATCACGACTGGACCCAAAACCGCAACAATCGTGCACCCACCAGGGATTTTCAAGGTTACGATGCTGACTGGACGCTTTCTGCTAGAACTGGCCCCCAGAACGGAAGAAATCGTGCACTCCCCAGAAGATTTCCAGTGTTACAGGGTGTTTGTAGGATTCTGACTGTGCTGACCCCTAGGAAAACAGCAAAATATTCGACTTAGAAGACGAAATTCGCCCACGAAAATCGGCCCTGAAGCCGAATTTCCGAAATTCGACCACGAAGAGGAAGATTTGAGTTTTTGACATCCAGGCTCCACACTCGGATTCGAGATTTGGAAAAGTATGTTCAAAAAGCCACGGGTGCCCCACGACTCCAAGGCTCCCTTCTCGGAGCTCAAGGCTTAGAAGAATTCTGATTTTCAACTCGGGGGCGCCGGACATCAAGCTATATGAGAGGTCCTGGGCTCTTTCGCGGCTTGAATGTAACATTCAGTTTCAGTGAATATCAGCACATCTTCGGCGTCAGGCTGCGGGCAGACCAAAATTGGACTTCAGCCCATTCGAGCGCTGAAATTTGGGCGTCATGCGAGCCGACTGCAGGCCATTGTATACCCCGCACATTCCGACATACACGGGCCAACTTTCGTCGCCGAATTTACGCGTCAGGAGCATTTCTCTGGTGAACCGAATTTTAGGCTTCAGCATTGAATTTGGGCGTCAGGGCCATTTTAGGCTTCACTCGTTATTGCCGCATTGAATGTCGGCGCCAAATTTGAACTTCAGCCGAATTTCGGCTTCAGCCAACACCGACCGAAGTTACTGTAGGTGCCGAATTCAAGTTTCCGAATCTAAGCTTCGGGGGGAGGGGGGGGGGGGGGGGTGTGTGCAAGACCGGGACCCGGGTCCCTGCATGTATGTATGCATGCATGCATGCATGTATGTGTATATATGTATGTGGCGATTCAGGTACGTCCGTATCAATGCCTGCATGTGCGCATGTATACACACGTCCCTTGTTGGGTTTAGTTGTGTCTACGAAATCTTTCCGTTGCAATGTGTGTACCGTATGATTTCGACCCAGCAAGAAGCCGCACGTGGTTGCACAGATCATGTGCGCCTGATTGATTGCCTATGCGTGAGTGTTCGGTTGTGTGCGTGCATGCACTAGTAAGTTTCAGATTCGCGACCAAGTCCGCGGTAATTACTGCACGATAACTTATTAACTTTTAATTGGTCAAGGAGATCAAGACGCTGAACACCAGTGGCCCCACCCCGGCCGAGTGCAGCCTCCTGTCTGCATTCTGCTCGCAACGGCTGTGGCAGATGCTGTAGCCTTTCTGAGCCCTGCAAAGCCATGAGCTGCTGCATGCCATACCGCCATGCTGAGGTGCATTAGGCACTTGCACAGAGATCACGACACCTGCGCCGGATGGGGATGCACAGGCCTCAGCCAGGACTGAACCGTGGGAACTTCTACAGCGGTTTCAGCAGGCATATGCAGGCATAAGCTGTGTGATGTTCACCGGAAATGCCTTGTCTTGAGGTCTATCTAGTGCAGTCGCGTGCAGTTACACGTTGGCGGCACTGGGTTTTCGAGTTGTATAGCGATTCTGCTGAGTGGCTGCGTGACAGCTCAGGTGGAGCTCGCTACCTGGGCCATCGGTATTGCAATGCTGGCTTTCGTACAGTTACTTCAAGGCCCATGGCTTGCCAGAGCCACAAGCCAGTAGTATGTCGTTAAGACAAGCTAACAGCACGTGTCTCAAGGCGAAGGGTGCCTCAAAGCGGTCTTACACTGGAGTTCATGCACGCATATGGACACCCCTTCTAGACATGCAGCGCCTGTAGGCTCACGGTACATAGGGTATCTATTCCTCGCAGCACGGAAAATAGTGGACGGCAATGTTCAACGAGCCTCCTGATCGAGGCTTTCTCGGTCATGTTCAGTCCAGTTACTACAAGATATACAAGGCCGGCGACGGGGGTGCTGCTGAAACGATTGCACACAGGAGGTTCATACGGGTCGGAATCAGGACCTCGCTCCAAAGAACGAGCTGTGCGATGAGTTCCTCTTCACCTCGCATGTGGCGGCCACTTGTCAAGTGTGATTGTGGAAAGGTGTTGGGAGGGCTGTTGTCGCAGCTCACGAATTCAAGGTGAGCAGAAACTTAGTTAAGGGCACGGCATCTATTCTCGGCTTTGCGGCCTGCTTACATCATCTTTCCTTGGGCACAGGTATTTGCTTAAGCTGAGACTCAGGCGCTTTTGCCCCTCCTTTGTTTGAAGGATGACATCATGGCGGCTTCCGGCTCAGAGGGCTCTGCAGGACAGCGTGTCGGCACTGAGCATCAACAATCGAAGCTTGTTGAAGTTGTTGGGAGGACTGGATTATTAGCATGAGACTCCCTCCCGGGTCCCTCCCTCCCACGACCGCACCGTGAACAATCTTGTGTGTTTCGGTGTCGGGCATGCGGAAGAAGGAAAACTATCAACCGCAAGCTGAGGCAGCACGAGCAGCCATGGCATCAGAGCCGGTGCCATATCTGCCATTCCATTTTCCAGGTCAGATTCTTTGGCTGCAGCCCGGCTACATTTTCAGAATCTGGCGAGGCATGAGCACTTCAACTCATCGTCGTCCTCAGGACATCACGAGAGAAGTATGCTAGCAGCGCAACTCTCAGGCTGGTCAACAACGTGTCCCAGACAATCTGCCTGAAGGGGGTCTTCCGCACCAGCGCCACAGTCACCCCGCTGGCGCTGACAATTATCCTCTCTGTTCGCAAATTTCTGTCGGTGGTGGAGCCCCGGCTGCCATGACAAAGAGCAAGGCAGTTTTGGATCTGCGAGTCAGGCTAGCACCGATTAGCAGCAGGGGTACATTCTTACATGTGCCATGTAGGCCCTGTGCTGGAAAGCAGGATAAGCCCGCAGTGCCGCTTGAAGCGTTGCCCATGGTTATCAGATCTCATTGTGACTTCAGGTCTCCATTGTTCTGTTCAGCAACCCGTGGACCGCCCAGCACAGCGCGGCGACAGTGCCTCATCTTGTGATGCGAGTCTGCATAGCTTGCAACACTGTCGTTGTTGCCTCTTTTGTGAATTCAACCGAAAACAGGGTTCGTGCCATGCCGAGTGGCCCCGTGAAGGGCTGGGCTGCGGACGGCCAAAGGTCACGGCATCTGTTTGGGGCTTCCGGCAGTGCTTGCTGCTGCCAGCTCCGGTTCTTGCTCGGCGCGAATGAGCTGGCTCTACATTGACTCTACATCTCCTTAATAGGGCTAAGCGGTGAAATGGATGCCTCACCCTGACACCGCAGACGCAGATGTGGCTCCTGTCAGGTGCTGATCTTTGGCGGTGCATTTGCCTACTCCCAAGTCCGCGAGGCCCGTCCAGTGCCTGGGCGCGTTAATCAGAGACGAAGCGGCAAATCGCTCGCAAGTCGCACCTGTTAAGCTTAACTAGAAGGTTGATGCGGGCATAAGCACTGGTTCAGTGAGTGTAAAATGTGTAAAAAAAAACAGAGGCGCCTGGCTGACCCTGCAGGGCTTGCAAGAACAAGCCACTAATGGCAGCGTCGCAGCAATCCATGATTTTGGAAAGCTTGTCCGATGTCTTTGCCGCCAAGGCCACAACCGGAGAGAACAAGAAGTCTGACTGATAGCAGCGAGCTACGATCAGATGACAAGCTTTCACGCCGACCAGGAGCCGGAGCGAGAATTCGCAGCGCGTGAAAACACACTGCAAAGATGCGATCTCTCACTGCATCGCAGTGTCGCCGTGTTTCCCGAAATGCTTTGCCTAACCTAGAGGAGCCGATATCAATTTTTCTGGCTGGCCGCCTCTATATGCTGATCGAAGTCTGTGAGTGTGCCCCCGACAGTGACTGTCTGCTTGGAGGCCTTCGAGTGCGGCTCCGAGTCCAGAACTCTGATTAGCATCCCAGCTGCGTTTGGAGTACAGTGACACCACGCTTGTACAACTCCAGCCGACGCTGCACCAGTGAAAGAGAGTGAAACAGACGACAGACCCAGTAAGCAGTAGAAAACGAGGGAGAAAGAGAGAGAGGGAGAGAGAGAATGTACTTCCAATGCCCCATGTCACGTGGGGGGGCCTTGGTGCCCGGGGGATTTGGCAGATCCCCTATGCCCGATGGAAGAAGAAGAAGAGAATATATTTTACGGCTTTAATTTAGCATTTCAACTAGCTAGGTTCGTTCCTCACTCCCCAACAAGCCTGAACAACACGTTCGGGTGGGCTTGAAGCCCGGGGATTTCATCGTCCTCCATGCCCAGGAGAGAGGGAGAGAGAGCGAGCAGGTGGGCGGGCCAATGGCCTGAGGGTCGAGTGATCGACCCCTACGCCCCGCAGAAAGAAGAAAGAAAGAGCGAGCAGGGGGTTCACGTCAGCGTGGATTCTTTTTCGTTTGCTCTTGACTTAGCTCTTTAGATGGGATGATGCACATGTTTTGTCCTGTGTGATCGTGTTTTGCAGCTGTCCTTCGCAGGACAACGCCCACGCAAGCTGGTTTGTTTTATTCTCCACTCCCATGGGGCGATGCCATTTTGTCCATCATATTCCACTTCTCCCTTTTTCTGCAGAGACAGGCGGTTCTAAAGGAAGTGCATCATCATTTATGCAGGACAGAGCTCGCACTGCGCGGCCTGTCTGGCTTTACTGCCTGGCAGTCCGAGGCCCCTAGCCCTGAAGCCGAAGACCATCCCAGACCCTCAACCGCCTGCTCCTGTACTCGTAGCTTCTGCCTTGGGAGGGGGCTGTCTTTGTAATTCTTTCGCCACTTCCCGCTGTGACGACAGCGCGCGCACCCGTGAGACCTGAATCCTTATACCCCAGACTCCTTCTGCTCCTGGCATTAGGACTGCATTGTTTGTTGTCTTCGTACTAGTACCATTGATAGAAATACCCTTCGGGTTCGGGGTTTGGTGGGTCGTCCAAGCCAATTATTGCCGGAAGCAATAGTTGGCCGGAAAACCTGCCGAACGACGACAGTCGTAAATTGGTTTAGCCAATCCGGTTTTGTTTCCAACGTCTGGAATATCGCTGGGCTGGACCATACTGGCTAAGCCAATTTCAAAGTCCACGTCCCCTAAGGCTTAGGGCACTAAGGAAGTGATCCAGCCGCTGAGATAGGGGGGAAGCAGTACGTGACCGGAAACCGGCTGTAAGGTGTTGACCTCAATTCGTTACCCGTGTAGCCTATATCCAGTGTATTCATCTAGCTGCTGCAGGGGCTGCAGAGGGGGATGCACTGACTGAGCGCACCTCAATTGTGGAAGTACAGCCGAGCTCCTCGGAGAAAGGCTCCGACGAGGAAACCGAAAAGCCTGCCAGGAACTGCGGTCCCTGAAGCCTGGGAAAGAGAGAGCGCGAGAGAGAGAGCGAGAGAGAGCAAGCAAGACACAGACAGATGAAGCATCTTGTAGAGTCCCACTCTGTATCCTTGGGATGCCGTCAGGGGTGACATCAATGCACTGCAACACTTGATCCCGCCTCTCGCGGCATCGGGGGGGGGGGGGGGGCAATTGCACCTCTGACACCAGGTATCCCACCAGCAGCCGGGCGTGGCCTGAAAGGGGAGAGGTGCCCCGCCAGCCTGATGAGAGAAAGAGCTGAGAGTGAGCAAGCTTAACTATAGCTACAACAGGTACTCAGTACTCACAGCAGGCAGCACAAACAGTACCTACACCTCATGTGTCATGTCAGTTCAGGCCCAGTTCAGTGGGTTAGACGGATGAAGGAGGTGTTGGGCACACGTCCGCTTTCCTGATACTCCGGTTCACACTTAGCCCTTACGTATTGCGAAGCACAAGACCCTCGTGGATGGCGCGGCAGAGAGACTCCAGACTTGTTAGTGGAAGTTCCACGCCGAGTGGGCCCAGAGGCTGAAGGGAGACAACGCTCTCCAGTGACGCTCACAGCATCTCACCGCATGCGGTTGTGTCAGCTCGAGGGGCGGCCCCTTGAGGCGCTTTCGAAGAAGAAGAAGAAGAGAGAGACAGGCTGAAAGCGAGAGAGCGTGACGAAGTTCCTTGCCGTTTGCCTCGATCCGGACTACAGTGCCAAGGTTTGGCACGCTACTTTGAGCATGCGCGCTACCGCTTGGTTCAGTGGCCTGGCGACCAGTTTCCCCACGGAGGTGTGTGGCTGTGGCATTGGGTATACATCAAACGGGGAAATGACTACGGTGCGGTCAGCATGATGAATCCGTTGGACCATCGACTAAGCAGTGAGACGCATGCTGTATTTGCAGGACACCAAGTTTAGCTTGGCGTGCTACGCTCGAGGTATGGTTTATGTATTTTTGTGGGCATCTTGCAGCAGATCAACTCAGATTTCTCAGGAAAGGCTGCTTAGCAGATGCTGCTGCCAAAGTGGATCGGATTATTCTCCGGTCACAGGCTCCTGGACGGTTCCACCGACCTTGAGAGACCCTGGTGGAGGGAATTCGAAGTGCTCTGTTGGCAGGTTCTGCGAGTACTTCGCACGCTTGAGCCGCTCGCAGCCTGGCCTATCTTGTCCGTGTCGCAAAACAACATCCGACACATGCCCGTGTGCTGATAGTGCTTTGTCTGAGGAGCAATACGAGCTGCGCACTTGGTTGGACAAGGCCTCACGTGAGTGAGTGCAGATGTTGGAGCGACGAATTCGCAGCTTTCGTTTAGGGTGTTGTTCGTCCAGGTGCGGCCCCACTCCGTATTGGTGGGCCACACGATCACCCAACGCAGTGCGGAAGGCGAGGTAGCTCCTTGCCAAATCCCAGCAGACTCGATCAGCACAGAACGGAGCCCGTGCTGCTGTTGGAGAGAAGGAGACTCGTCGCACCGCACCAAGGTGGATGTGGCTCGGGGCTGGGCTGTGCTGATCTTCCTGCAGAGTGACAGGGTAATGGAGGCCGACAGTGTGCCATTTTCTGTGTGGTTCTGACACCTGTGATCCAGAGATATCCGGACCGTAAAGAGATTCATGTGTGGGCTTCAGGTGCCCGATGCCGGCCGGCTTGCCGAGCTGGCTCTGCCGGAGCCGGAGTGGACACATGGCGCACCTCAGACTGAAGCATGCAACTCGTAGCGCCGTTTCGAGGTCCTAATGTTAATGTGCTGCACAACGCATCTTAGGTGGCGCACGCAGCATCTCCTGAGGCTCCTGCAAGACAAAGACTAAGACAAAGAATCATGCAGGTGTACGGGAGAGGACAGGACATGCAGAGAGATACGATTCTGGATGCATCCGCAGCTGCCATTTGCTTCCCTCACAGACCATGCAGTTTTCTGTTTTGAAGCCTTTATTGCCAGGCATTGGAAGCAACCTGGCTGAAGCAATTCTGCACACCACGGTGCATACTCGATTGGCCGCACATCGGTACAGGTTTCGAAGGAGCAGTCCTCACGCCGCAGTGAACACCAGCTATTTCAAACCTATTTGCTCGATCCTGTCCCGTAAGGACAGGGTAGCAGCCGCACCACCAGACTGCTGGCAACACAGGACTTATGTGGGATCTAAGATTTTTTCCTGTCGATCTGATACTGCCGCCCCCACTAATACTGTGCCACTCTTGGGTTTCAGGCGACCGGGTTTCCCATGCGTTCCCGACCTGCATTGAAGACACTCTAGCAAGCTGGGAATTGTGCAGGACGTGCGTGGCTGCCGTGGACCTGGACTTGCACGGATGTGTACATGAGGTGGCACGAGCCCAGAGTTCGTTCGGATCCTCAAACGGCGGGGTGCAATGTGCTAATCCGGGCCCGCAGACTCAATCGGCGTGACAGATTACCAACCGTCGTGGGTTCTGATGTGGCTGACTGGAGCAGCGAAACCTGGTCCGGGTCGGTTTGCAGAAGGGACTATCAGGACTTCTTCGACAGATTCCGCCATTGCACCGCACCGCCCAGCACCTTGAGCTGGTCATACATGTTCCAGTTTCCATCATCGCGTGCGGTTCTGTAACTGTTTGTGTGCAATCCGCAACTTTTTGCCCCCAGACTTCTCGACGTCAGGCAACCTGCCTGGCATACATGGAGCGTTCCTTGGACTCGACTATGCCGGGGCAACGTTGAAAGTTGCTGTATCTGGAAAGCCTTCACGATTGTTTGACACCACAGCCTGGTAAATTAAAATATCCAAGATTGTGACCATACGGGCACACAGCTCGCCTCTTCAGGCATCTTCTTCATTCTCGCATGCATTAAGGCTCTACAGCCGGTCATTCAGAAGTTCTCTGGGTCGATTGCCCGCCTCCGAATAATTTCAAGAGCAGAGTCTAATTTGTGTTTTGTGCCACGCTTGTTGAATTGTTGGCTGTATCATGTTTACACACCTTCTCCCATGTCTGACGATCGTTGTTGGTTCAACGTGTCGTGTGCATGATGGGTCATTTGGTGCTGGATTGCTGGGAAAGGCCTCAGGCAAGCCAGATACACCACACCGCCCTGACGATGTAGGCATTTCGAAGCGAACTCACTTTTGGTTTCGGGCCGAAATGCTTTGGCATACTGTCAGATAAGCAATCTATTCGGATGCACTTTCGGTTCTGGTCTCTGGCTGGTGAATTTGCCAGTCAACCCTCTCTGTACTCTGCTATATTTGTGGAGGAGTTCTGGCATTGGTAAGCTACTCGAGCTACTCCTATCTCGAACCTTTGAG